TGCTGCGGAGTCCACGCTCGACTCCATTGCACTTGGAGGAAAAAAATATCTAATGTAACCAACTAAACAGAACCAACATAAAAGCAGCAATATAATTACAATAAAATATAATATTCGAATATAAATAAAAGCTGATTTTTTTTTACACAATGAAGCCTGTGTCATTTCAAGTAAAAAAAAAATAAATAAATAAATAAATATATATATGTGTATATATATATATATATATATATATATATATATATATATATATATAAACCACAGTCAACAAGCATTGCATTGTGTCATTTAAAAACTATAACATTTTTATTCATATTTTTTATTAGTTTCTATTTTTTATTTTCCAGTTTCATTAAAATTTTCAGATTTTTGTGTTTTTGTCTTTTTATTAATTTTATTTTACGTTTTTAGTATGTTTTACTAGTTAGAAATCATATAATTATATTGTCTGTACATTTTTTTATTCATTTATTTTAATATCTGAAGAGGATATGTTTATACGTCAAAGCATGAAAAGTTTTCACACAGACAATAATGGTGTTAAATTGATCTCTGTTCAAAACATTTTTAAGGAGAACAAAGCTTTTTGAAACCATTCATCGAAGAGAATAAATTAGAAAATTTTACCAATGTAGTGTAGACTACGAAAGCTGTTGTGAATTTTTATCACATGGTGAAGACCCATTCAGCCCAAAGTATGACGTTGGGCGGCATTGTACTGCCATTCTTACAGCAGCTCTACATTTTGATAGATTCAAATCTGCTGAAAAACATGGCAGAGCTTTTTGTTTAAACCGAAATGGTGGACCCCATTTTGCGACAGATGCAAAATAAACAAAGTTCCTTGTCAAAAATGTTTTGGTTTTGTCCTAAACTGTTTGTTTTTTGGACTGCCATATTTGATTTTTCAAAAGGACATTAAGCCAGATCATTGTTTTGCAATTCTTGATATTATGAGACATTGAACACTATTCTAAGTTTCCAGCAACGACCTCTATTGATGGGCATGATTCTTGCAAAAAAAGTAATTCTATTAAACTGGAAATCCTGAGACTCCCCATGTTTCAAAGTTTGGTTGGGTGAATTATTTCATTTCTTACAACTGGAGAGGATACGTTCCCTGGAGCCCAAATCTCATCTGCAATTTTAAACTGCATGGCAATCCTTTGCGGATTTCCTCAAAACTGAATGGTGTATTAATTTCAGAGTAATGACTGAATTTACTCTGTTGTTAATTTACGATTTTGCGTAGATTGTTTTAAACGTCCCTCACTTGTTTTTTCCCCTTTTTTTATTGTATTGTTGGTACATTATGTAAAACAATTTAAAATAAAATAAATAAAAACATCTGAAATGGTTGAACTACACTAGCATTCTACACTACTCTCATCCCTGTCTGAATTGAATCAACCACTTGTTACAACCGAGGTGTGCAGAAGAGCATCTCTTAACACACAACACATTCAACCTTGAGGCGGATGGGCTACAGCAGCAGAAGACCACACCGAGTGCCACTCCTGTCAGCTAAGAACAGGAAACTGAAACTACAATTCACACAGTCTCACCAAAATTGGACAACAGAAGATGGAAAAATGTTGCCTGGTCTGATGAGTTTCGATTTCTGCTGTGACACTTGGAGGGTCAGAATTTGGCATCAACAACATGAAAGCATGGATCCATCCTGCCTTGTATTAACGGTTCAGGCTGTTATTGGTGGTGTAATGGTGTGGAGAACATTTTCTTGCCACACTTCGGGCCTATTAGTACCAATTCAGCATTGTGTCAATTACCTGAGTATTGTTGCTGACCATGTCCATCCCTTTATGACCACAGTGTAACCAACTTCTGATGGCTACTTCCAGCAGGATAACACGCCATGTCATAAAGAGCGAATCATCTCAGACTGTTTTCTTGAACATGACAATGAGTTCACTGTACTCAAATGGCCTCCACAGTCACCAGATGTCAATCCAATAGAGCACCTTTCGGATGTGGTGGATTAAGAAGTTTACATCCTAGATGTGCTGCAGACAAATCTGCAGCAACTGTGTGATGCTATCATGTCAATATGGACCAATATCTCTCATGAATATTTCCAGTACCATGTTGTATCTATGCCACAAAGGATTGAGGCAGTTCTGAAGGCAAAAGGGGGTCCAAGCCGGTACTAATAGAGTGTACCTAATAAAGTGGCCGGTGAGTGTAAATCTCCACTAAAAATTGTTGAGTGGGAATTTAGTGCAGGAACTACTTGTTTTACAAAATTGCATATAAAAACCAATAGCTGCCACATAAATTTTGCTTCATAAGAATATCTCAACCCCTGCTATGGTCAAAGTTCAATCCGTTGCATCCAGAAGAGCATTTTAAATCCCATCTTGAACCTATCAAGGTGAAAATGGCGTCATGGTAAGAACTGTAGGCTAATAGGGGTCAGGGCCATAACACCGGATGGACAGATGGCACTGTCGTTCAGAAGGAATTATATAAGATATTTAATTTGACCTGTGCTTGGTCTGCTGTATCCCCATCATCACGACGGACTTGGAAAGAGGGAGGTCTTCATTCTGCCTGCTGTTTTAATAGAAGAAAGGCTTTCGTCCATTTAGTCGCCGCTGATATATCAATCATGTGTAGGAATTAAATGATCCCGTTAGAATTTGCTACTATCACAAATGACCTGGAGGGCCAATGTCTTTATTCGCTTCCTCCGCTGATTCACCTCAGCAGATATTAAACAACTTTATAAGCCATGAAAGGCAAAATTAAAAGGACACCATCCATAAAATGGGATAATTCCCTGTCTGCCGTGTGATGTCCATATTGCTGTCTGTAAACTGACTCGCATAGCTGCTGATCTGTAAATGGGAATGGCAGTGAATGGGAAGTTAGTATAGTGGTCGGATTAAACCTTTGACCCCAGATGAACAAAGTCTATTTTGGTTCCAGGAGAAAAATCTGAATTTAGTGTCTGAGGGTTGATTTGATTTGACCAAAGGAGAATATAGATAGAGTTAGTCCTGGTTTGCTTACTGTTGTTCACACTGCCATTTATAAGACTAAGCATTTTCTCTTTTTTATGGTGACAACTTGCAATTCATTTATGTCTTTTGATCATCAAGATTTTTTTTGGTCTCTGCTGCTTCGTATTTCAGTTGAACCACAACCAAAGTTCATTAGAAAGTAGACTAAAACCAAACTTTTCAGCTTCTCTGCCCGGTTATTTAGTGTGAACCAAGTTTCCAATGGTAGCTTTACTTGATCAAAATAAATGATCTAACAAAGCATTTAGACTAGAGTTTCTTTTGATCAGATCAAACCAAGGTGTTTTAACCTAATCAAACTTTGAAGAGTTTTAAACATGACATTAACCTCACAGCCGTAAATTCTGTCCTGAGTAATTAATCTGTCACGGAAGACAAAAGATGTCAATTAAATGTGAACTAAATAGATATTTTAGTAGAAACAGCTTTAAGAAAATCTTTAGTCAATTTATCAATAGTAATATTTGATCTTTTTAATTTTTTATTTCAATTCTGCTGTGGCAACTAGTGTTTGTGCAAAAGCTTATAAGAGTTATTATAGTACATTAGACATTTTAAGCATATAATATTATAAATTAAAGAGTTTTTACACCCTAATTGCTTAACGTTAATCACTTTAATGATTTGATGAAGCAAAAAACCTTTGAAAATGTTAAATAGCTTTTTGTGTAGAATGTGCACATTACAAATGTTTTATTTTGCAAAGAAAACGCTAAACTATCACATTCACCTTACATTTATGTATTAATTTAACTAAAAAGAGAATAATTTATAAAAGTATAAAGAATACGTAACTTTGTTCAATCAGCATATTATACGATATATATAATAAAAGATTTGTTTGTCGACGTTTCATATATATTTTGCTAAGAACAAGCTAAACATTCACTTCACATTTATGTTTAGTTGCATATGTCTGCTCAGAAGAAGTAGAGAAGTAGAAAGCGAAAAAAGTATTGTTTAAAGAAAACGTCAAACATTAATTGTTAAATAAGTTTGTTTAAAATTTGTATATACTTAAAACGTCGAGCAAATGCTTGATCTTTACTGACTGGACTGTGGCTAACAAAGTTTAGTCAAGGATGGCTAACATTAAGTTTACGCTATATCTCACCAAAGTGAAATAAATTGTGGAATTTCTGCGTACTTTCCCCTCAAAAATCGTTACTGGAGAGGAATTAATACAAATATTGATCTGTTATTTGTCCAATGGGTTTTAAATCATGTCATTCGGTAAACCCGCTTGCCCTAACTTACTTGTGTCTGTCATCCATTCGGGCGGTAAGAAATGTTGCCTTTGCTGCCACCTAGTGTACATTTCCTAGAAAAAAATATATACTGCAGAAGAGTCGAAGCATACTGTAAAATAAATTAATAAAATACAATAAAATAAAATAAAATAAAGGGCATAATACATAACTTCGACAATAACCTATTCAGTTAGAGAAAATACATTTAAAAAGATAGATAGCAAAATCTGGAATAATTGTAAGTAAATAACACAAGTATACAAGTATTTGTTTAAACTACTATAATAATAATAAAACATAATAATAAAAAGAAAAAAACATTTGATTAAAACTAACTCCTTAAAATAGGTTCAAATAATCTAATGATTGAAATAAGTAAATTCATGTGATAATAAATGAATAAAATCACAACTATAATGAGAAGAATCGTTTAAATTAAATCGTTTCCCCAGCAATAATGACTCGGTCTTTATCCAATAAACTTAATTGATGTCTTTTCTTACATTTTAGGATCGCATAAAGAAATATAAACCCATTTATATTTTCATTATTATTAACCATTTTTAACATTTCTTCCTCTTCGAAGCACATGCGCCAGAGGGCGGAAGTCTTGATTTAATGGGAAATGTAGTTCTTTATCCCAATAACACTGCTCCAGTCCGTTTCAAAATAACAACTAAAAAACTACAAAAAATCGTCCTGAACCGAACTTCCGTAAATACACGCATCAGGTTGTATGGATTCATCCAGAACAAAACATCCAGGCTGCTATTAGATTATATGTGGAGAATAACAGCTGCGTGAAAATTAATATTAGTCGGGCGCTCGGAGCTTTTATTAATCCAGGTAAAATATACAAAGAAAAATATCGTTTGTGCTGTTTCGGCTAAATTAATTACCGGATGTTGCGGACAGATGCGACTGAGCATCAGAGATTTTAGTAATGATATCAGACTGTTTGCTATTGTCACATCACAGTAAACTAAATCAACATAGAATCGCTAGCGAGTAAATCAAATATATACATGAATGTGTGGCTGTGAATAATGAACGATGTGGGTACTGGGTACTGTCTTTAAAACAACTCTAGGCTTTTCCTTTTGCTTTATTAAAAAACAAAACAACCTCACACTCAGCTTGCTGTCACCAGAAAGACTTCAGTGTGAGCATTTTAGTGTGGGACTGAACAAGAGCAGCTGATGCTTTTGTCTGTGAACAAAAAAATCTAAATAGTCATTTTGGGATTCTTTGTTTTTAGCAGAAGATGCCCAAGGAATCTGACAATTCCCCAAAAGAGGAGCAGAGCAAGACTGACAAGGATGGGATAGAAAACACTGTGGAATCATCAGGAGAAATGATCCGGAAGAGGATCAGAAGAAATACTCCCAGTCCTCACAGACTCACCCCTCAATGTAAGAAGAAAACATGTTTATTAACTGAAGGGGCAGTCTATGCTAAATTTAACATTTGCCATTAATATACAGCCAAGATATAGACCATTTTGAGGGAATTTATTCCTTCATGCTGTCCCAACACAAATTGGTTGAGTGGAACCTGTCTTTTTTTTATTATAATTTTTTTTACAGTGTTAGATCTCAGTATATCATCAGGAGCCACAAATATTAATTTTGTGGTGGCTGTTTGTGTATTTTTGACTCTCAAAGTGAAGGTAGCCATTGACATAGATTTTGGGAATGAAAAATCTTCATTAATGTTCTCCAGAATATAAATGATCACCTACAGTTTATATAAAATGGAGAGAGGGTGTCAATTAACAGCAATTTTCATTTATTTAGGTGGTAAATGTCTCTCTAAAAAAGGTGAATTCTAGTTTAACGTTTTAATGTTAAATTCATACCCTTACAGCCAGCCCACCCAGATTCGTGTCAGTGGAAGAGCTGTTGGAAACGGCCAAAGGAGTCACTAATATGGCACTGGCTCATGAGATCGTGATGAACAGTGCTTTTCAAGTCAAACCTTTTGAGCCAGAAGAGGGAAGGTGATAGATTTTCTCAATTTTTTTCATGATAACATAACAATGATCTGAGTGGTCTAAACTTCTATTTGAAATATGAATGTAACAAAGTGTGTTCGAAAACTTTTACAATATTTTTTTGTTCTGTGCAGTTATTCTTTTTGCATGCAAATTGCTGTTTTACATACAGATGATTGCAAAATTATTAGTCCTCCTGGGAAATTGTAATTCTTCTAATATATATCCCATGTTTAACAGGCATTTTTCACACTATTTCAAGTAATATTGTTTTGCTAGGGTATTATTATGATTATTTATTTTAGTTTGGCTGGAATAAATGCATTTAATTTATATATATATACATATATATATATATATATATATATATATATATATATATATATATATATATATATATATATATGTATATAAGGTCAATATCTCTAGTCCCTTAAGAAATTAGATTGGCTACAGAACAAATTGGCACAGCACTGTTGTAATGACTTTCCTAATTAAGCTAACTTGCCTACTTAACCTAATAAACCTAGTTATGCCTTTAAATTTCACTTTAAATCGCTGAATATTAGTATCTTGTAAAATATTATGTTGTCATTATTTGCTAAGACAAAATCAGCTAGTTATTAGACATTAGTGTGTGACAAGTTAGACAAGTGTGTTGGAAATTTCACAGGAAGGCTAATCATTGTGTCTTGGCTATTAATATTTGAACGTACTGTTCCTGTATACTCAGTTTGGCAAAAAGGGTGAAAGAATTGATGCACAAAGCATTCTGGGATTGCCTTGAGTCACAGCTGAATGAGGACCCACCTCAGTATGGCCATGCTATAACACTTGTGGGTGAAATTAAAGAGGTAAGTACAGAATCCAAGACTACTCGTTATTATTTGGCTTAATAAGCATATCAATTAAATTCATGCAAAATATTGAAAAAAAAATACAACCAACAAAATTTCAAATAATCTTTCCATTTTTTTGCTGCTTGATTTTTTTATTTTTATTGTATTTAATATATTTCTATAACATATAAGTTTGGCTGTACTAGTTTTTGGAGCTTTATCATAAGTTGCTTTGTTAGATAAGCACCAGATTTGACTTCAGTACCGACTAATGTAATGTACGTATATGCACAAATATAATATTTTATAACTTCCTATTAAAATATGAATTTAAAAGATTTGTGAGGGTTGTACTTATACATGCTGAGCACTGTATGTTTATGAATTCTCTTAATATACTTAAACAAAATGACCAAGCAAAAACCAACTGTAATTCCTTGTTTTTTTTCTATTCTTTCAGACCCTGTTGTCTTTTCTGTTGCCAGGCCAGAGCCGTCTCAGAGGGCAAATTGAAGAGGCTCTGGACCTCTCTCTGATCCAGCAGCAGGCTGAAAACAGAGCTCTGGACATCAGTAAAATAGCCCAGTTCATAATTGACATGATGGGCACTTTCTGCGCACCCTGCCGTGATGAAGACATCAGACAGCTGCGGGAAATCACTGACATCGTGCCCCTTTTTAAGTAAGTCACTTAAAGGGACAGTTCAGACAAAAGGGGAAATTTGATATTAAATTACTCACTCTCCAAATTGTGCAGCAAATATATTACTTTGATTTCCAGTAGAACTTTACATTTTTAGCTCAAACAATAGTTCTTTATCCCATTGATGGGCTGAGGCTGAAAGGGTATCCGCTGCGTAAAACATATGCTTGAAAAGTTGGTGGTTCATTCTGCTGTGGCAACCCCTGATTGAAAATGGGACTAAGCTGAAAAGAAAATGAATGAATAGTACATAGTAGTTTAATAAAATGCTTGTCAACAGTAACCTGCACTTTAAACAAAAGTAACACACGCAGCTTGGATAGGACAGAATCAGACTTTTTTCTGTATTTTTGCACAGAATTGTGTAAATAATCTAAAGATTTGTTTGTATTTTCAGGTTGCCTTTTTTAATTTGTCAAGGGTCAGCAGATGAAAATTAGCCCTTGTGGCTAACTCTGGCTTATTTACTGTTTTACTGTTGATTAATGAGCATTGTCCCAGTTAAATAAAATAAAAGCTAAAATATATAACAAAAGTAAAATGCTATATATATATATATATATATATATATATATATATATATATATATATTTTTTTTTTTAATAGAAATATAAAAATTATTTTATATTTTATATTATTTTATGTATATATATATATATATATATATATATATATACATAAAATAATATAAAATAAAGTGAAATATAAAATAAAATATAAAACAAAGTAAAATCAAAACTAAAATATATAATGAAATATACAATATATAAATATATTTATAAAATATAAAATAAAATTTTAAATAAAATAAAATAACATTAAATAAAATAACATATAATATAATATAAAATTAAATATATAATAAAATAAAAATTATAATTTAGGTAGAATAATTTTGAGTATAAGAGCTGAAAACCTAACATAAAATAATAAATTAAAAAGTATTACTTTTTTATTACTCTTTACTTTTTGTTACTTTTTTAAAGTTAACAATGGCAATCCAATTTAAACCACTTGTTTGATAAACAAGTACAGTAGCTGTCACATGTAAGACATAATGTTGATTTAAAAATTGTCTTCCACATAAATCATCTAAACATTTGCATATTACTCAATAATATTATTGAGATTATTATTAAAGCTGATTTAATAATAGGCTCAAAAATCTCTAGAAATCATAAAACTCTGTCACTTTATTTTATTACAGTTATTACTTCATTCAATGAATATCAGTCTAGAAAATAAAATAGTTTTTTTATCCGTAGATCTTAGTACACTATGTAACTACAAAAAAGGGGGAAGTTTTAAATGGAAAAATCATTGGAAGTATTTGCCCATTTTGAGTGCAATGCTAATGGTCTGATCCGATTCAATGATCTATGCTAAGCTAAGCTAAAAGTGCTCCTGACAGATGCAGTGATCAGCTGAATAACCACAAAATGCTAAAACTCATCTGTTTACCTCTAGGAGAGACGTAAAATGAGCCTATTTCGATTTCGTTTCATTTCTGTGTTCCTTTAATGGTTCAACAAGGACCAAATATTCAGCAAAAAGTATTGTATGTTCTACTGAAGAAAATAAAAAAGGTCACCCAGATCTTGGAAGGCCTGAGGATGAGTAAAATTAACAAAATAGATTCATTTTTGGGTGACCTACCTTTTAAACAGATCAAGGTGAAGGTGATATGAATTCAACTTCTAAAATCATTCGAATCTGTACACGTCTGCAGGTCTATATTTGCAGTGCTTGACAAAATGAAGATCGACATGGCCAACTTTGCTGTGAGCAGCCTGCGTCCTCACCTTTTACAGCAGTCGGTGGAATATGAGCGCAAGAAGTTTCAGGAGTTCCTTGAAAAACAACCTAGTAAGGAAAATCTGTCGCTTTTATTGAGTAGTTATTTAAAAAAAAAGAAAAACAATAAATGTTATGTCATTCAAGCGTAACATTAGATTTTTTAAAAAGCCTAAATAAGCTTCTTGAACTTTAATGCTAATCTCTTTAATTCAGTTATGTATTCGTGTTTGCAGATGCTTTGGATTTGACTAAGAAATGGCTCCAGGACACGGCAGATTATGTAACTGGTGGAGAAATGGATGGTGGAGCAACATGCACAGCAAATTCTGCCCAGCTTGCCCTTACTGTACATAATCATGCCTTTTTACGCTTGTTAAAAAGGGACCATGATGCTGATCCTTTCCCTGAGGTAATGTGTTATTAGTGATTGAGGTCGTACTGATTTATTCATTAAAAATATAAAATGCAATTTCTGCACAATACATTAGTTTTATAAGGAGGATGTTTTTAATGTTTTAGAGAAAATAATATTTTGATATGGTTTGAGGGGGGCGACGCAGTGCCACAGTGGGTAGTGCTATCGCCTCAAGGCAAGAAGGCTGATGGTTCGAGTCTCGGCTGGGTCAGTTGGCATTTCTGTGTGGAGTTTGTATGTTCTCCCTGTGTTTGCGTGGATTTCCTCCGGGTGATCCGGTTTCCCTCATAGTCCAAAGACATGTGGTACAGGTGAATTGGGTAGGCTAAATTGTCTGTAGTGTACGAGTGTGGATGAGTGTGTTTGCGGTGTTTTCCAGAGATGGGTTGCAGCTGGAAGGGCATCTGCTGCGTAAAACATATGCTGGATAAGTTGGCAGTTCATTCCACTGTGGAAACCCCAGTTAAATAAAGAGACTAAGCTGAAAAGAAAATGAATGAATGAATGTTTTGAGGGCTTGATAGTCAAGCTGTACGGATGATCCAACTGGAGTCATAACAGGGAATTTGAACAATTCATTTTATTTGTTCAAAAACTCTGCTTATTCTTTAATTAAAAGGTTTGAGTTTAAAATAATAATAATACACCAGCATGGGAGCATTAAACTGATAAAAGTGAATACGTAGAACATAAACAACCCTTTTCAACATTGAACATCATAAGAAATGTTTCAAAAGCATTAATCTGCATCAATTACAGATGGATCATGTGTAACCAATACAGATGGATCAATAGTAAATTATGAGTAATTTAGGGTTTCTGCAGGGTCCTAAAATGTCTTTAATCTTAAAATCCAAATATCAGAGCTTAAAAGGTCTTAAATCTACTGAAATATTGTGTTGTAGCTCTTAAATCTTTTTTAAACGGGTCTTAAGTTTCCTTTGTTCATGTATTGATACCAAATCTGACCAAAACCCATACAATCACCAACAATTCATTCATTTTCTTTTTGGCTTAGTCCCTTTATTAGTGTGGCGTTGCCACAGCGGTATGAACCACCAATGTATCAAGCATATGTTTTACGCAGCGGATACCTTTCTGGCCGCAACCCATTACTGGGAAACACTCATTAACAGACACTCTCACACTATGGTCAATTTTAGCATACCCAATTCACCTGTACCACATGTCTTTGGACTTGTGGGGGAAACCAGAGCATCACGCGAACACTGGGAGAACATGCAAACTCCACACAGAAATGCCAACTGACCCAGCCGAGGCTCAAACCAGCGACCTACTTGCTGTGAAGAGAACGTGCTGCCCAATGTGCCACTGCGTCTCCCACCACCAGTTCATCTCAAGAAAACTTCAAACTTTATATTTAAAAATGTCATTTTTATTCTATTTATCATAATGGTTTAATTATTTTCCTTATAATAAATTGTTCAAAAGTTCTCCATCTATTTACTTTTGAAGACACCGACCAGGACAGATTGTTTTGTAAAGATTCAGTTTATGGTAGTTTTTAAAACTTTTAAATCATTTGTTAATTTTTTTAATTTTAAAGAAAGTTTATGTTAAGGAAAGAAAGTGTATTTCAACATTTTGCTAAGTAATATATAAAAAAATTATATTAATGTATTATTGTATTATTAAATGTATTAAATTATAATATTTTTTTGGTTGGGCAAATGAAAATATTTTCCATCTGGGCCATTTGAAAAATTCCTTAGCCTTTGGTCCTTTATGAGTCTAAAATGTCATTCATCAAGGTCTTTAAAAATGTCTTTAAAAAGTCTTAAATTTAACTCTGTGAAACCTGCAGAAACCCTGGAATTACAATAGTAATTACAATATAACAAATAAAATTTAAAAAGAAAATAATAAAATAATATTTAAAAAGAGTTTTTAAGGTGCTTTATTCATATTTTATTAAACTTTATTAAAATTACTGTTTGCCATTTTTATCGATAATCGCTGTAGAAAACAAAATTGTAAAAAGATCAAACTTACCTTACTTAAAAATATATTTCAAAATATTATTTTAATGATGTGAATTTAATTTATAAATACATTATTATTTATTTTATATTATACATTATATTATTATTTATATGTATGTACATACAATTTTATACATTTTATTTATTTGTGTATAATTGTTTAGTTTTAAATAATATGCTAATAATGAGCAAAAGTATTATTATATTGATCATAAACGTTTATATTATTCATAACTTGTTATTTATATGTATGCATATTTTTTATGAAATTATGGCTAAAATGTGCTCGCATATTTAAAGGTGTATAGAAAATGTGGTGTAGTGACATTTATGAGTCGTTAACATATTTTTTTTAAACAAGGGTTTAAAATAATCTTCAAAATGAAATTAAACCAACTTACAAAACACAGTTACAAGAATCGAACAACCTGCCATTAGTTTTCAAAAATCAAACAACCTGCCACTGTTTAATTATAAACACTGTAATTTCATCTTTGACCCCAAAATGTCTGGCTGTTGTTTTATCCTTTTCCTCTGTTTTCTCCCTTCTGTGGTTGCCCAGACTCTTCTCATGGATCAGGGCAGATTTCAGGAGATGCAGCAGGAGTTGGAACAGCTGGCACTGGTGGCATCAGTCCTGCTCATCGTGTATAATGGTGCAGGAGAAGCCATTTCTGGACTCCCGGGCCTCATGGAAAGACTGAAGAAAACCATTAAGATTCTTTTAGCAGAGATGCACACACCGTAAGTATACACAGTTGACGTCAGAATTATTAGCCCCCCTTTGAATTCATTTTCTTTTTTTAAATATTTCCTAAATGATGTTTATCAGTGCAAGGAATTTTCATAGTATGTCTAATAATATTTTTTTTTCCTCATGAAAGTCTTATTTGTTTTATTTTGGCTAGAATAAAAGCATTTTTTTAATAAAATATTTTAAGGTCAAAATTATTAGCCCCTTTAAGCTATAGTCTACAAGACAAACCGTCATTATACAATAACTTGCCTGATTACCCTATCCTGCCTAGTAAACATAATTAACCAAGTTAAGCCTTTAAATGTTACTTTAAGCTGTAAAGAAGTGTCTTGAAAAATATCTAGTCAAATTTTATTTACTGTCATCATGGCAAAGATAAAATAAACCAGTTATTAGAAATGAGTTAATTAAACTATTATGTTTAGAAATGTAGAAAAAAATCTTCTCCCTGTTAAACAGAAATTGGGGAAAAAATAAACAGGGTGGCTAATAATTCAGGGGGTTTAATACTGACTTCAACTGTACATAGCCCTTTATTAAAGTGTTTTTTTTCTAATGCCTCACATCTTTATAGAAAAAAAAACCTTGTACTTTTCTCCCCTAGGTCCTTCAAAGAAGATGAAACCTTTTCTGTTGTAGCAGAGAAATTGTGTTTGGAGCTCAGAGGATGCTTGTCTCAGCATGGCTTTTCCCCCTTTTCCTCAGACAGAGAGAACACTCTAAAAGGACAAATTGTAGCAGCAAAATCTGCAGACAACCCCATCCGCAAGGTCATTGGTAGGTAAACCCATTCATGGCTTAAAGTGAAGGAATGGGAAAAAACAATTCTATGTATTGTGATTGTCTTTTCAGTGACTTTAAACATTTCTGAGTCAACTCTGAGTTTCTTTTGGCGTGCTTTTACATATTGTCCCATACCAATCATGTTAAAGAGGACCTAATTTGCATAAATACAGTATGTAAGGATAAAGAGTATAAGTAGCGTGTTCACTTATTTAACTGAAGAAATAAAACTTAGGCTGTGTCCCAAATCGTCCTTATACTCTTGAATAGTGCACTATTTGAGGAAGCAGTCATTTGTAGTGGTGTCCAAAGACATAGTGGGCACTCAATGAAGTGTACGTAATCAATCCCACAATGTACTGCAACAACGAGTGTATACAACCGGTGTTTACTCAATGGCTAGAAAATACCCAAATAATTCAAAGCAAATGAATTTACATTTCTGCCGCAAAAAATCTCTTTGTTCATGCCGCTCGATGACACACAAGCGTACCGTGTACAGCATCATGGGTAATATAGTCTTCATAAATTCTGCAAGTAAACGCAATTTCTTTGTAAAGTTTACCGTAAGTGTGTTTTTTTTTTAATTTAGAGTTTTATTACATACATTTCCAGATTTACTTACACATGTATGGTACACAGAGCTTTTTACATCGGATATACAAACAGATGTAACATGAGACTCAAGCATAGAAGAAAAGCAAAGTAAATGAATTAGTAAATTACCAATACGCAAGTCAAAGATAGTATGAGAATATGATATTAAACTACCATGATAATAAATAAACAAACTTGTACATGCATTCAAACTGAACTCTGATAATACTAATTGGTTTATTTTTAGTTACTAATCCGGATATGTATTTATTACTTAGCCCAAATTTGTGCTGAAGTATTTAAACTTTGCTTTTTTTACAGTGTAGATAAAACTGTTCTTCGTACTATTACTTTATATTATCTATAGATTTTACTCTCTATAGAGTGAACAATAAAAGGAATTGTTACAGTGCATCCGGAAAGTATTCATAGAGCTTCACTTTTTCCACATTTTTTTATGTTACAGCCTTATTCCAAAATGGATTAACTTCATTTATTTCCTCAAAATTCTACACACAAAACCCCATAATGACAATGTGAAAAAAGAGTTTTTGAAATTGTTACAAATTTATTAAAAATAAAAAAGCTGAAAAATCAGATGTACGTAAGTATTCACAGCCTTTGCTCAATACTTTGTTGATGCACCTTTGGCAGCAATTACAGCCTCAAGTCTTTTTGAATATGATGCCACAAGCTTGGCACATCTGTCTTTGGTAATTTTTGCCCATTCCCCTTTGCAGTACCTTTAAGCTCTATCAGGTTGGATGGAAAGTGACGGTGTACTGCCATTTTTAAATCTCTCCAGAGATGCTCAATAGGATTTACTTCCAGGCCCTGGCTGGGCCACTCAAGGACATTTACCGAGTTGTTGTGAAGCCACTCCATTGATATTTTGGCGGTGTGTTTTGGGTCATTGTCCTGCTGGAAGATAAACCGTCGCCCCAGTCTGAGGTCAAGAGCACTCTGAAGCAGGTTTTCATTTAGGATATCTCTGTTCATTGCTGCATTCATCATTCCCTCTGTCCTGACTGTTCTTCCAGTTCCTGCTGCTAAAAAACATCTTCATGCTTCACTGTAGGGATGGTATTAGCTTGGTGATTATCGGTGCCTGTTTTTTCCCAAATGTAACGCCTGGCATTCACTCGTAAGAGTTCAATTTCAGTCTCATTAGACCAGAAAATTTTGTTTCTTATGGTCTAAGAGTCCTTCAGATGCCTTTTGGCAAATTCCAGGAAGGCACTGGCTTCCATCTGGCCACTCTACAGGCCTGATTGGTGAGTTGCTGCACAGATTGTTGTTCTTCTGGAAGATTCTCCTCTCTCCACAAAAGAACACTGGAGCTCAGACAGAGTGATCATCGGGTTATTGATTACCTCCCTAACTAAGGCCCTTCTCCCCCGATCACTCAGCTTAGATGGCTGGCCAGTTCTAGGAAGAGTCCTGAAGGTCACAAATATCTTCCACTTACGGATGATGGAGGCCACTATGCTCATTGGAACTTTGAGCAGAAGGTTATTTTTCTGTAACCTTCCCCAGCCTTGTGCCTCGACAATCCTGTCTCATAGGTCTACAGACAATTCCTTTGTCTTCATGCTTGGTTTGTGCTTTGACATGTACTGTCAACCTTGGGACCTTATATAGTAAGCATAATTTAAAACAAAAACACTTAATTATGCTATTTTCACTATTAGTAACTTGAGGCTTTGAAGATTTTTACTCCTAATGAATTGTGTATGAAAACCCAAATAGCAGTAAGCATCTTATTTTGAAGTATTTATAATCTAAAACTCTGCTTTTTTTTCCTTTTCTTTTTTTCCGATTAGACTCCCGAATCCAGACGTACCTTCTTGGTTTCCTAGAGTTGAGCGCCAACCGGACTGTCCCAGCTCTTCCTGGAGGCCTGACCCCCATCAGCAAAGAGTTAGAGGAGATTGCTGTTAAACTGGGACGCTTGATAACCTTTAACAAGCTAGTTTACTCTCCGTTCTATCAGAAAATCCTCCAAGACATTCTGAAGCAAGAGGGAAGTTTAGATGGGTAAACGAAAAACCTGTAACACGTTGAGGTAAAGTTGGTTTTATAATCGCACAGTTCCTTCATTGTTTACCATGGTACTCTATATATTCAGTCTGAAATCGCTTGTAAGTATGACTTCAAAACAGCATTAGCACTATTTATTTGACTGCAAACAGTGTTGTACTTTGATAGTCATCGGCTGCTAATATGATTTCCCTATTTATAACACTTTTCTGAAATGATATTATTAAGGAGACAGTCCAAATGTGCGAATATAAAACCCACTTTACCTCAATTCGTAACACTCACCGCTAGTTGTCCTGGCTTTCACATTCTGTAGCTATTTACCGATTATAGTGTCTATGAAATGGCTAATTAACACATATAAACTCATATGCTAGCACTAAACTATATGTAACGACTAAGATATCTGACCTCATTAAATGACATTGTATATCAGGGACTATTTATGAATGTATCGAGGCTTTTTGAATTGCCTAAAGCTTTAGGCTAAGACTGATAACTGTTCGAATAGAGTGCTGAAATGTAATTGAGGAGAACATTAATGCATATATAAATATAAAGGATTTACTTCCACATTTTTTGAGCAGTTGCTAGTATCTTGACCCCCTCCACAGGTTCATCCAGCTCTTTTAGACGGGTGTGAGGGAAAGATGTACAGCATTTGACTGGTGCCTTAGTTTGTGAAGTGCCACCAATATTTCTCTTTATTATTACGTTTTAACCTGCTGATTATTCTTACCATATTGTTCCAATGGTGATGAGACATCTGGAGCACATCTGAAGAACTAACTCTTGGTTTTAGTTTGTTACTGTTTCTATCACTGAGCATGTTTTACAGAAGACACTTTCACCTCACAAGCAAATGTGTTTCCCAGACAAACCCAGCTGCACTTCTTTTGTTCTGCTATCGTGTTTTATCAGTGCAGTATTACCAATGGTTCTTTTTAAAGGAATGCTGACTGTCAATAAAAATGTGAGGTGTGTAGAAAAAGAGAAAATAAGTGGGTTTGGATTTACTTTATGTAGCATTTTGACGTGGCGTTTTTATTGTATTTTTATAGATTTTATATTTATTACATAGAATTTTATTGTTTTAGAATAGGTTTATTCAATAAATATTATTATAATATTTATTTAATTTAGGCATTTGAAGAATATTCTGCAAAACACTGCTTTTAGGAGATATAAAATATTTTGTTACACATAAATGATAATTTTCTGTTTTTGTTAGGGATGTCCCGATCAGGTTTTTTTTGCCCTTGAGTTCAAGTCAGAGTCATTTGATTTTGAGTATCTACCGAAACCCGATCCAATACTAATAGAATGCATAAAAAAAAGAAAAATCTAATATAAAAACAAATAGCACCTCAACTTAAAATACACAGCAGGCAATCCCAGGTTTACATATTTCACAGTTTGCTAAGGCTATCAGGTGATCGAAACCCTAGTTTTTGTTATTAATTTCTGTGGTAATATTAGATGAGTTTATAAAAGTTACAAATTAAGTAAAGTCAAAAACACTTTTAATATAGTAGAAAATTGGTTTGCAATAAAAAATTATTTATAATAAGTTAAATATAATTATAAACTTTTGTTTGTTATAATAGCTTTATTACACTGCACACCACTTTAAGGTTTATCAAAATATTAAATCTAGTAAATGTTTACAAATTACATACTCATAATTTAATTAACATTGTATATAAATTATTGTTTTCTATTATTTTATTATATATATATATATATATATATATATATATATATATATATATATCTCACACACACACACAGCCGGTCAAAAGTTTTTTTTTTTCATGTTTTTTTTTTTTTTTTTTTATTCTGGTCATCATTTATTAAATGTTACAAAAAATTAAATGGTTAAATATTAGTATAGTATAAATACATTTAACTTATACCTACTGCTTACTTTATATAGATTTAAATTAAAATATTACTTCAGTCATTCTTAGTTTTATTACTAAAACCAATATATATATATATATATATATATATATATATATATATATATATATATATATATATATATCAGAGTGATCTCTAAGACTGGAGTAATGAAGCTAAAATCACATAAAAAGAAAAAAATATAATCTTAAGCATTCTAGAAGTGTCTTGAAATATATCTAGTCAAATATTATTTACTGTCATCATTTCCCTGATTAATAAAGGGACTAAGACAAAAATAAAATGAAGAAATTGTATTATTACATTAAACAAAATACATGCTATTTCAAAACCATATAATATTTGATATTATTTATTTAGACACGTGTGGTCACCGTTCAGATCCCACCAGACGAGGGCCACTGTGTACCAAATCTACGTCCTACTCCCGTCATCAGCGTCTTTTGTGCATTACCTCTCCAGTCCTGTAAACGCCAGTAAGAGCTCCAGCATAGCTCTGCTTCCCCGCGTGCGAAGAAGAAACAACGCGAGCGCGTTCTCGAGCGCTCAGCTGAGAAAAAGCTCGGGCGAGTTGAGCTGACAGAGTTTGTCCGAAACCGTCAAGAGGAAACAAACCAGCGGGGACTAAAACGTCCTCGAAATGACAACAAAAACCTTCTCCGACCGACACGGATATCCTTAACTACAAGCTGGACTGCATTCGGTCCCCGTGAATGGCTTAGCAGGCGAGTTATGCGCAGTTGAAAATGAGGGAGCTTGTGTTTTTTTCTCCCTCGTCGTCCAGCGAGAGGACAAGATGGCAGCGCGTCGAGCATGCAGCGGGTGCGAATTAAAGCCCAACATGTTCACTAAACACCCGCAGAACGACCACAGTTGCTGTCTGTGAAGGTAAGGAAGACCTTGACGAATTTAGGAGTCATAAATACGCGTATGATAGTCAAAAGAGGAGGAAATAAATCAAGCTCGACTTCGGAGGAGCGATCGCGAGCTTCGTAGTTGTGGCGAAAAAAAGTTGCCACGCCACACCAAAAACTTGGTAGCAGTGTTTTGTATGGTGTTTCTGTTGCTGTCGGGATTGTGGTTTTATTTTAGAGGGGTAAGTTTCACGAGTTTAAGCCTTAAATGTTCGCGAGGACTTTCTGGTCACCAGCCAAACCAATAATGTTTAACGTTACCTAAATCGTCCTGGTTAAAAGCATGACGTAAAGAAGTTCGGTTGATGCACTTTAGCCGTTCAATATAAGGATTGTTAGTGGTGCTGGTTTAAATGATAGGTTTTATACAAGTTATATATATAAATTGTAGGTTTTAAATGAAAGTTTGCTCTATAAATTTGTTCTTTCATGGTGTAAACGAGTGACATGTTGCTCAATGTTTCTAACATGCTCAGGCCTGGTAATCTGTTAGCAGATGACTTCTCTTTTCTTATGTAGATTGATATTATTGCTGATTAGACTCAGCAGAAGTTGCATCTAAACTTAAAGTAGTTTATGTACTGTCTATTCGTTAGAGGATATTATTTATTTTTGTTTTAGTTTGTTTTACTATTTATTTCTTAACGGTACTTGTTTTTTTGGTATTTATTTGTCACATCCCTGTACTCAAGTTTTCTACATTGAATCCTGGATTAATTGGAATTAAGGAAAATTCCAGAACTGAAATTGTATATACAATTTTCATCCTGGTGTACAGTTTTAAAATGTTTTACTGGTTTGAAGTTGTTTTCAGTGCAGTTTGTACATGGATTAAAACAAAAAATTGAAAGTATTTTATTAATGTTTGTGATTTGCAGCTAATCTATACATCACTAGACACTCAATTATTTAACAAACAATATTGTGTCTTGCGATTAATTGAAAAGCAATCGAAATCGGCATTCAGAACCTTAATCGATTAAATTTGTCTATGTCAATTTTTTTAATTTCTTTCCCTGTCATGTGTGGAGTCGAGGCTTTGCAGCCACATCTGATCTCTGGTCAAGTAGGACGATGGACTTATTCTTAAACCTTATTTTGGTTTACATTGACAGTGATTGGAAGCTGTGCCAGAGATGTCTTGAGACTGCATATTTTCCATTAAATGAAAATTGTTATTTACATTAAAATATTTGTGTACAGAAGATGCACAGTTTAAAATATTATTTACAGTTATTTTATTTAGAAGATTTACTGTTTATTTTCTGCTTCTTAATATGATAAACATTGAAAATAATTAAATTTATTTCCAGAAGTGAAAGTAATTTATTTACATTTTTTAAATGACAAAAGTTTGTTTTAGCCTATGTGTGTTTTAATTTCAGTTGTTCAACGTTGGTATTCAGTAAATAATCATAATTAGTAGATAGTGTGTGTTAGGCATAAATTTCTGATGATATGATAACATTGGATAAAAATACTACATTATCATGGTATTGTGCATACTGCTTTAAAATAAGTTTAAACATCTGAGTAAAACAAAAAACAAAAAAACTTTTGGTTCTTGAACAATTTATTTTAAGAAACATTTATAATGTTTTTGGAACAGTAAACATGTCAAGCTAAATAGTTAAAATAAATCATTGATTTCTGCTGTCTTCATTAGTTCCAAAAACAAAGGTTTCTTTAGAGAAAAAAAAAAGAAAACTTGCATATACCTCGGGAACGACATAACAGAACATTTTAGGGGGATTAAAACCTTGACTTTTTAAACCGCGACAAACCTTGAAACCGGTTATTGTTCCATGCCAAGTGTGTGTTTCCTTCAATTATTGTAAAATCAATTAATGTACCTTTCAAAAATCTTTCACTTGTAATTTACTGTACAAAACTTGTCAGTAAACTTTGAGGACATTAAAATAAAATAAATAAAATAATCGTTCAATAATTGTAATCGAGTTAAAATGTTCAAATAATTAAGCTTTTGATTTTAGGCCAAATTGCCCAGCCCTATTAAGTTTGTTTACACTTCTTTTTTTTTATTATTTATTTGGAACCGGTTAAAATAATTATAAAACATTAGACATTTGCTAAACACCACTGAAAAAGAACCTCATTTGTAAAACAAAATAAATAATAAACGTTTTTTAAACTTATTGAATTGGTAGCATTTATTCATATATTTACGACATGGTTTAAGACAGTGTCATGGTTTGCTCTGGTTCATTAAATATTAACAGATACAGAGGTTACATTTTAACAAGTTAATAATGATACATTCTTGAATCTGTTTTTATAATTAGTTTACTAATGTTAACAAATAGAGCTTTATCATAAAATGTTGTCATTGCATTGTGCTTGTATACTAAAAGAAGTGTAATGATGAATAACATATTTTATGTCATAGATTGAAGGTTCCTCATTGTTATCACTATCACTTTCCATCACTGGGAAAATTTGTGCCTGTCATTTCAGTAAAGTTTACTTCCCAATCGTTTCCTGCCATTAAATGTTTATAGCCGAAGCAGTTGCAGAATCAACAGGTGTTTTCCCTGTGCCGTCTCTCACCTAACCCCATTAGGTCTTGACATAAGAAAAGGTCAGTTGCCACCTGTTTATAGCAGAAGGCAGTTGCATTCGAAAACAGTAGAGAGACCTGAAACCCAACACCTTGGCCGGTGCCTCCCTGCTACTGGGGGGATTACTCCCCTCTTAGACAGACCTCATAAAAACACTCCTCCAGATGGGACTGTCCTTTTAAAGCTGTTGAGTTGACTATCTGATTTCATACTCTAAACCTTGTGGTGTTTACATTTTGCTATGTTAGAACAAATGAATGAGGCCTTTTATTACAGCGGAAACCACCAGATATGCATTCCCCAAGAAGCAACGTGACGTTTTTCATCCTTTTTATGTTTTATTATTACCTCAATATGCAATCCTGCCTTGTCTGCCAGAGCGTTAGCTGGCTTAAAAGTGTACAAGAGAGTTAGTCTGTGGGTGTGTTGTAGAGCCACACCTGTCCTCGTGTCTGAACTTGTGCCATATGTTGTGCCAGTATAAGTAGTCTGTCTCCCATGAAACTAAGACGGCTAATCCTCATTGGTAAAATTGTCTGTCTGTAGTTGCTAACATATCATCACGCATGTTAGTGGTGTATGTTTAATATCAGAGTAGAATCAGAATGCTAATTTATTTCATCATGGTGATTTTATTTAAATGAATAAATGCATGCAAATCATATCACTGTGTGTCACACGTAAACAGCTTGTGATATTATTAGTGTTTCAGGTTTATAGTAAATGCTGCTTCACATGGTCACATTTGTACGGAACCCCGGAAGGGACGTAGAGGGGGAGAAAAAAAATGGGTGGGTGAAAAAAAAATAATGGGTGAAAGAAAAAAAATGGGTGGGAGGAAAATATATATTTCTAAGTTTTTTGCGTTCTCTCGCAAAGTTTTGCGTTCCCTCGCAAAGATGTTTTGCGTTATCTCGCAAAGATGTTTTGCGTTCCCTCGCAAAGTTGTTTTGCGTTCCCTCGCAAAGATGTTTGCAAACACTTCCTGTTCACTGCACTCACGTAAACCCTCCCGTTTTTGCCGAAATTCTCCCGTATTTTACCATTCTATCCCACTTTCTTTACATTACTGTGCGTATGCTACCTATATGAACCAGTGAATGCATGTATAAGCGCTGACTGACAGACGCGCTTCGTACAATAAACTGATCCCAGATCAGCGTGTGTACACGCCATTTACAGAGGAGCGGGTGTATGTTTAAACAGACAAATACACTGAATAATATGAAACATCTCCGTCCTGCATGTTTTATTTTAAACAGCTTATTTTCTCTTAAATGAGCACAAACAGTTTCTAAAGTAATGGACTGCTTTCATTATAGATCTGTGCATTCTTACAGAGACACCTCTGTTATCAAACTAAACAAAACATGAGATTCATTTGCTGCGCACTTGTTTGATAACAGAAGTGTCCCTTTAAATGGCGCGTACAGACGCTGATCTGGGATCAGTTTATTGTACGAAGCGCGTCTGTCAGTCAGCGCTTAAACATGCATTCACTGGTTCAGAGGTTGCAAAGTGAAAGGCGACAATCAGCGCACAGTAATGTAAAGAAAGTGGGATAAAATGGTAAAATATGGGAGAATTTCAGCAAAAACGGGAGGGTTTACGTGAGTGAAGTCAACAGGAAGTGTTTGTGGAGAAACAGTTTTGCGAGGGAACGCAAAACATCTTTGCGAGATAACGCAAAACATCTTTGCGAGGGAACGCAAAACTTTGCGAGAGAACGCAAAAACTTAGAAATATATATTTTCCTCCCACCCATTTTTTTCTTTCACCCATTATTTTTTTTTTCACCCAGCCAATTTTTTTCTCCTCCACTACGTCCCTTCCGGGGTTCCGTACATTTGCTTTTATTGTTGATTGTTCAGCATTTAAATCAAATAAACTATAGCACAACTAGCCAAAACAGTAATTTTACATTTTTACTCATTATAGTCATTAAGTAATTATAGTAACAATGTTTTATTTTACTGCAAAATTCTTAAAATAATATTTTGTCTGTTGTTTATTATTTTAAAAAAATGTTAAAACTGACAGTTCACAGTGCTTCATAAGGTTTATACGTTTTTCTCGTAAAGAGCTTGTGGTATTTTTCTTGTTGTTGCTTAAGATGTTTTCATGTAATTCATTGAACAAACCGTTTTGCATATTTTTAACCTTCTGATATAAACGGAGGTTTTTTTTTAAAGAGGATGATGACTGTAAAAAAATGTAATCAGCATCTGTGAAAGGATGACTAATGCAGCCTAACAATTTTCTTTTCCCTCTGTCCATTATAGGTATGGCCTCACAGGTTACGGTCTGCCCACCACATGTTTATCAACCCCAGACAAGTGCCTTTTGCAGAGCGAAGAAAATTGATCCCAGCAGCTGTGTTTACCATGAGAAGATCCCTCGCACTTATGTGGTCGGTGTGAATCTAGGCATTGCGCACCCTACAGATATTATACCTTTATTGAGATTTGAGGCTTTGACTAGTGAGAAACCCTGCCCTGCTCGGAATTTCTCAAAACAGACTGAATCAGCTCCACAGGAGCTCCTCAGAAGGGCTTCTTCGCCATACAATCGTGTGGCGTCGGAGGGCAAACTTCAGTATTTCTCTAAAGCAGAGGTTGGAGTTGAAGAAAAAAGTGGAGACAGTGGCCAAAACAGCCAAGGTAGTAGTAGAAGCAGTGGAGGTGCTCCAGAAGGGGTGAGGAGAAAGGAAAGGAGCGGTGGCTTGAATTCAGACGAGGGAACCCAAAAATGTGGGTTTAAATGCAAAGGACAGGAGATTGAAAATAGCAAGAGCATCATGCAGATAGTAGAGGAGCATTCGACTCTACCTGCCATGTTGCCAACAAATGTTGGGAGCACAACTGCGGTAGGCGTTGCCCCGCCCGAGCAAAAGGGAACCGGGACAGGAGCTGTGAACGGCACAGGCGATGGTGACTATCAGTTGGTCCAACATGAAGTGTTGTGCTCCATGAAGCACACCTATGAAGTGCTGGAGTTCTTGGGACGTGGTACATTTGGTCAGGTGGTCAAATGTTGGAAACGAGGCACAAATGAGATTGTGGCAGTAAAGATATTAAAGAACCACCCCTCGTATGCCCGCCAGGGTCAAATAGAGGTCAGCATCTTGGCCAGACTAAGTGGGGAGAATGCAGAGGAGCATAACCTGGTTCGGGCTTTCGAGTGTTTCCAGCACAGAAGTCACACTTGTCTGGTTTTTGAGATGTTGGAGCAGAACCTGTACGACTTTCTCAAGCAAAACAAGTTCAGTCCGTTGCCACTGAAGGTTATTAGGCCTGTGCTGCAACAGGTGGCCACTGCACTGAAGAAGCTCAAGAGTTTGGGCCTGATCCATGCAGATCTTAAACCGGAGAACATTATGCTGGTAGATCCCGTCAGACAGCCCTTCCGTGTGAAAGTCATTGACTTTGGCTCTGCCAGCCACGTCTCCAAAGCTGTATGTTCAACATACCTTCAGTCTCGCTATTACAGGTAAGAGTTTATTTATTTTACATTTGCATTAATGTTGACTATTGGTTGTCAGCTCTGTCTAATCATTAACAGACACATCTTTCAGCTGGGGTTTGTATTCATTAATTATAAAGATATAATTTGTGGTGTCTGTTTTGAGGAAGTGGAAATGAGGATGGTTTACTTTAGCCACACTTCCTGCCAGGACAATTATGTAATGTCTTCTATAGCTTTTGTCAGAGTTTGGTGCCAAGCCTTCTTTGTTTGCTTGAGTCTGTTCTAACCTACCTTGGAGCTGCACCTATGCTTAGTTTATGTAACTCCACAAAAACTCATGACGCACAAAATTTGATATTAACCAATAGTTTGGTTGCATCTCTGTGTGTAATTCCTCTAATAGGGACCGTTCTGACCATGATGGCAGTACTTTGTGTCTGTATGTGGTTGGCAGATCTTTAGGAAGAATGTGGTTGCTTAAGTAAATTATGGGACGTGGAAGGACTCTTAAATTAGAACATTCCACATGTTCGTGCTTTAGGTTATATGTAATGCTTTGTTTGTTTGTTTGTTTTTTCTCCTTTAAAACCATTTCTCCCTCTGAACACATCAAACTCTCCTTCTGGACACATCACCAAATGTTGTTCGCCCAAAAATGAAGACTCATTGGCTTAGCTTCATGTTTTTCTAAATATATATGTGTGGAAACAATGTAACATGTTATTTTTCTACAATATACATTGTATTTTCTGTATTTCATTTCAAATAATCATGCAGGTGTAATTGTAATATTACTGTGCGTTCACACCAAAGGCGGCGAGAGCATCAAAGTTGGCTCTGGTTAGTTACGTTCCCAAATAAAATCAAGCTTTCTAGCATAGAATTGTTGTTGATCTAATTTATTAACTATAGCAGTTCAAGTTGTTATGTGTGGTGTGGCTTTGCTTCACTTACTCAATATAGGTCCATGTCTGAAATATTCTAAAGCAGCAATGCTGTTTTGTTGTGTCGTTATAGTTAGCGTGAGATTCCCACTTTTTTTTTTAGGTAAAATTAAGCATTAATATACATCAACTCGCCAGTATTTTTTTAATGGATGTCGCTGTTTGAAAACATTGTAAATAATTGAAAATCTAGCAATCGCAATAATCAAACCCCTGGGAATAACTGTGTTCAGAACCAGAGTTCACAGCACTGTGAACTATAGAGTTGACTTGATTTCAACTCTTTTTGACGCCCACACTGGTGAAGATGCCCCATGCCGCTGCTCGACACTCATCAATGCCAGCTCCCAATGAAAATGAATAACTTCCGGCTTATAACACACAGTTATAATACAGGAGAGTTCCCAGGAAATTAAAGCTTAGAAAATCATCTTTAACTTTCTAAGGAAGTCACCAATGTCATCCTTGATTTACCTGAGGGTAGGGCTGAGGGTAACGATCATGAGCTCTGGATGTTTTTAATCTGCGACGCAGTGGCACAGTAGGTAGTGCTGTCGCCTCACAGCAAGAAGGTCGCTGGTTGAAACTCGGCTAGCGTTTCTGTGTTTGCATGTTCTCCCTGCGTTCGCATGGGTTTCCTCCGGGTGCTCCGGTTTCCCCCGGAAACATCAGAAATATCCAACAACAGGAATCTATGATTTTGTTGATTATTAGAGATTCACCGAATGTTTGGCCGCTGAAAATTATTGGCCGAAAATAGGTCATTCTGTGTCACCCAGCATTGTTAATCGCACTCGTTTCACTTTCCTGCCAAAAGTTTACTTTCCCTCCAGCAGTATTTGCCTTTAGTCATTGTTGGGATACTCTTTTAAAAGTGGAAGCATTAAAAACTTATGGCAAAATAATTATCTTTATCGTTTAATATAGAAATGAATGATCAATATAGCATTTTTGCTCTACCTGAGGGTGAGCAAATGAACAGCAATTAGTTCACTAATCTGTTAAATAAGAAAATGCTTTCTTTTTGCAACAACATGAGAGTAATGGTTGTATATTTATTTATTTTATTTGTTTATTTATTTATTTATTTTTTTGGTGCACTTTAAGACTCTGAAGTCTGGACGTCTTAAAGTTATACAAATATGTTTCGTACATAATGTAAACGCAGCGCAGAGCACAGTCTGTCTTTGGGAACGTGCTCTGTTTGTGGGGAAGCTATCAGCGTGCAAGATAAAGAGGAACTAGATTAAATAGGCCATTTGAGCTCTTTGTACTTTGGCACTGCCACAGGTTGATGCCTGCAAATGTATAAACTCACGCCTCATGCAGGTGGCACATGTGAATGTGTTGCTTTGCATGGGAATGAGAGATGCATTGTGGGATGCGTCTGTTTGCTAGTGCTGTGAAGAAGTGTGATAACAGATGTTTTTATAGAAGGTTATGAATAACCATTCACTCTCGCTTGTGTTTTTCTTTTTCTGACAATCCGTACGTCACTCTTATGCATAGTTTACTTGTTAAATCATTGCTGAAGTACTGAATAATTCTAATGAATAACATGTTCTTAATGTGCAATTTTCTTTTTGAATGGTTTGCTGTTTTAAATAATTAGTCAAGCCACACTTGTGTTAACATCTGTTTATTGTGCTTTTGCTTTATCAAGTGTGCATTCTGTGCTAAAGAAACATTTGAAATGCTTATTAAGGCTGCACGATATATCATTTTGGCATTGATATGTTTGTGCGGCAATGTGTGTCTGCAAAAGTCACATCGCAGGATATGCAACATTGGGATTATTCCCAAAAAGGAAATTATAAATGTATAATAATATATAATTGGGATTATAATTGATCAACAATCGAGTATACATGAGATTGTGGAATCATTGCAATGTAGGGTTGTGCGTTTTAGGAAAAAATTTTTTTTATTATATATAAATATATTTTTTTAAAATAATTTTTTATTATTAACTTGATTATTTTTATTTTTTTCATTATTATTATTATTATTATTATTATTTATATTAAAATCGCAATTGTGATTTGATTTGCGATTTTAATTTTGTAGTCAAGCTTCAGCTCAATATTTTGAATTGTAGCTTCTCACTGCTAATAGTATAAACAGTAGTGAGTAATGACTCGAGTTATTTCCATATAATCAACATGCTGCTTTTCATTAATATGGATTTGTTTGTTAATGCTTCTGAAGTGGCAGACGCCATCATCCCACTTGTCTGCGCTTTTCTTGTTTGTTTTATTGTGAGCGTTCAGCGTAGTTCAGTTGCGCAATTCTGATTGGGCAGAATGAAAGCGTGTTCACTCAATTAGCTATTAAGACTGTCAAACAGATGGCAGTCACGCGTTTGCTCTGGGTGGGGGAAATTATATAATGCATATATATTTCCTATTGCAGCCTCTTGCGATCAGCTCATCTCAACGTTTCAAATTGCAATTGCATTTCGATTAATCGCACAGCCCTATTGCAATGTATAACCGTAATGTATCCAGAACAGAGTGAAACTTTATCATTTACATGTGTTTTAGAGGCATTTCAAGAAAATGTAAAGCATTCGGGTACAATAACGTAAAACATTTGTAACTTTAATTATAATGTAGACACATTTTATAATTTATTAATAGCGCTGGTGTTATTTTACATTACTAAATTCCTGTATCTGAATACTGTTTGACTCTTCAAAAAATGATAAAGAACTGTTTATTTACTTTTTCTTTGGTCTATTGTAATTATTCTTGCAATTTTATCTTTTATACACGATTTACACCACTACTAAATATATCCAACCAATCTAAATTGATTTTTCTAAATTTTCAAACCATCTGGTGAAAATGTTTTCATATCGCAGCAAAACAAAATATCGCAATGTCAGATTTTTCCAATATCGTGTAACCCTAGTACTTGCGGTCACTTTTTTCCAAGCTTTTTTGGTTAAACCCCAAACTTGAACAATTGCTGTACCTTTGCATGCTGTGTTTTTGATAAAAGCCCCATGCTGTGTATAGGCCTACATTTGTGGCTTTTAAAACATCCAAAAGTGGGGGCAAAAGGGCAACATGTGCTTCTGTTTTCCATTTGTCCCCTATTTCTGTTGACATGATCGATGTCGTAAGAATCCATAGCCTGTTCCCAGCGCAGATCTGGCTCACCTAAATTTAGGGCGGATCTCGTTGCGTTCATAGTCACTGTGGTATGTGAGGTTGTCATGACAAGTATTTACTTTACATACTCTGAGCAGGCTGCGTTGAGCACGTACCATGTGCCAGGAAGTGACAGTTTTACAGGTGTTGTCAAATAGCAGAACTATTTATTTTCTTATTTCAAACACTTTTAGAACTGTCTGAGTCTTGTATGTTTGTCACTTTTAAAACACATTACCTCATGATATGTTGAGCTGAGCCTTTTAATAATTTAGCCTTGAACAGAGTGTTTTTGTGTCATGATGCAATACTTGTTTTCAGACATTTTTTTTTCTTCTTCTACTTCTTCCTTGGTTCATAAGAAGTTAGCTTAGTATATAAACTTAAACTTATAATAAAGTTTTTTTTTTTTCCCTCTTTTTTCTTGGGATTAGGTTGAGTAATTTTTGAACTGTGTATTCTGTTAATAATGAATAAGGGTTGCCCCAAAATAAAGTTTTAGTCTTCGACTGAACCTAAAAATATGAGCTGGAAGAAAGGCTGTGCTGCACTGGCCATCAGTGTTTGGTGTTATGGTTTCACCCTCTCTCCAGCTGTAGTCACTGCTAGGCATGGGACGATAACCAGTTTAAAAGTTTACCACAGTTTGGAAAAGTCAAGGTTTTAAAACCGCAAAAATTGTCCGTTATACCAATCCTAAGGTATATGTAAAATGTATTTCTTTATATTTTTTACATGTTAAAGCACCATCCACATCAAAAGCTATTGACCTTATTCTAAAATGCGGAAGTGCGCCTGTTTTCGCGGTTGTCTTAGAACTTCCGATTCATTCGCTTATGGGAAAAATGACTAGGATTAATAAACGGCAGAAAACGGTCAAACTACTTGCTCTACAAACAAATGTTTGCATGACTATACAGACCAA